AAATAAAAATCAGTCTTAATTGTACCCTCTAGTGAGTACTTCGTCCAGGGACACGTGAACGGTCGTTTACTTAGAGTTTGTATACTCTTGGAAGAAAACTTCCTCTGCACAAGGTGCTGTGTGACCCCGTCACACTCAGAAACGCGTTCCCGGTGGTTTTAGTGTAGTAAGAGCAGTCCGACAAGTGCTTTTGCCAGGCTTCTTTATGTGTGTCGGAAACGGTGTCGTCGCTCGGTCTTTCCAATGAGCAACATAGCAGTATTAAACACCGTCCACCACATGGTCTTGTTACACCGCTCATTTAAAGGGAAAACGTTTGTACTGAGGGCACTAGGAGGGCGTCCGCGCTTGGCCAGGTTTGATGAATCCTGCAGCCCAGGCAGTAGATCCATTAGAGCGTTATAGCGTCGTCCACACGTGCAGCAGCGATGATAAATAGCAAATGTGATAATGAAGCGGCGAGATCTAGCTTCAACACTTATCTTTTTTTTACGTCAACAATGTGAGGATGATTTGCAAAAAAAAAATGTTTTTAATGCCGGATACCTAAAAACAAAAAATGTAAAAATGTGTAAACAAAAATTCCAACATTGGTTCGGGCGATACGGGACGGACGATATAATCGTCGAACCAAGGAATGGCAAGTACAGATAAGCTGGAAAGGATTAGAAGACTCGGAGGATTCGTGTGAACTATGGATGGTATCTACAAGGCGGTGCCAGATCTGACGAAGCAACATGTAGAGAGTTGCGAGGACAACAGGATCAACAAATATTGCGGGAGCCTACAAGAAGACAGCGGAGGATAGTCAAGTCTTAGGGGCCAGTGTAGGTAGTTTCAGACTTGAACTATGAGAAGTTGGATCATGAGAGCATGGCGTCCACTGGTAAGTGTCGCCATGCTGAAAGATCGACGTTGAAACGACTGCACAAGAGATCTAGGACTCCGAGTAAGAGAGCAACTACTAATACGCTATTGCTTTTGCATTTAACAGCACAAGAGACCACAGGATTCAGCAAGCGATCGATATGTGTTTCGCAACACACTTCTGCATTTCCAAAATATTCCTCCGTTGTCGCTTGTACGGCAGCGTGATACATCTCTAAGAATCCGTTTGTTCTGCACGGATTCATTTTGGTGCGACCATAAAAATCTGCCTTAGCAAATTTATTCTCGCCAAGTGTGCTCATACCCGCTCTTCCACAATAGGGTTCACGTGCCAGCAGAATACCACCTTAGCGGCAGAAGGGAACACAACATCGTTGCATTCATACACGGGAGGGATCAGTCCGATACGACCAGCTATGGAAGGTTAATGACATTGCCCATAAGTAGCTGCTTCAGTGTGAAGAGTGTCCAGGTGTAATCAGGTTGTGCCTCCCCAGGCGGCCAACATTGAGCTATCGGCAAGATTAAATTCATATCTGTGATAGCAATGATGGTCAACAGCGGGTAGTCGTACTTATTGGTTTTGTAAGTACAATCGAGCACGATGATCTACAAATAATCCCGATCCAATTCGAGAGTCTCTGTGTGCGCCCACAAACGATTTTTAAGCCGTTTGCTGGACTGCTCCTTTTCGAAATAATAGTGAAACCCATTCTCATCAAGTATTTGGAACAAGGCCTCAACAGCACCTTTGGCACTGAGTAATATTTGATGCTGAGCGGTGTCTTTAGGGATCACCATTGTGTTTTTGCCCCTGTGAAGAAGCGTAGCGTGGATCTTAGCAGTGACAATACCTGCAGCTCCGTGGGCAAAGATTAGGTTGTTGATGGTTTGTGTTGTGATTCCTCAAAAGTTCTTAGCAGATCCTTGACGATGCGGGACGTGAACCTAAATGTCACGGGAGGCTTCGTGGTTGTGAACGTGGCTACTATCCTGTGTATATATAATCTTCCAGTCTGCAGATGGGTTGGTTACCTCCACGGCCACTAATTGGATCCGCACTGCGCAACCAGATGGAATTGAACGACGATCTGTGCAAACTCTGTCTTGGTCGGTCAATCGATGAGTGTTGTTTTGTTTCCCCCAGCGGCCGAATGCAAATAGTCTGTAAATCACTTTTCCAGCACTGTTGCGTTCGAGTTGCTTCTTGGTTACGTTCAAGCCATACGATAGTGTCCATCCATGAAGGGCTTCTTCTGCTATAGCTTCACTATCGTATTATGATTGTGTGGTCGGTAGAACCATGTGCTCCGTTGGGGGTTTCCAGGAGAATAGCCTTCATAATTTAGATGCGTAGGATACGGTCCGTGGCCCTCCTGCATGGTAGAGAGAGTAGACACTTTCGCAGTTACGAGACTATTGTCTAGATGGTTTAAGGCCGTGGCCGCTTGTGCGTAGAGACCCGCGGCGCTAACAAATTTGCGGATAGTAGGAATGTGTTGAGATGAGCGAAGTGAGTTTCTGGAAAATCGTTCAGAGCAGAATGTAAATATCACCGCTCGACATATACAAGAAACATCCCGGAGTACAGCTCGCAGTAAAAATATAAAATAAATACCTGGGTGCAACACAATGACAATATGTAGACTGAGCCGCATCGGTTAATAAAATATAATGACCCTTTATATGATAAGTGGTCAAATACCTGAAATACCAGTAGCACACTCTGATCCGGTCCAAATCATCTAGGTCACATAAAGGAAGTGACCCATACTGGGAAAATTAGGTCAAATTATATTTTGACCAGCCCACCTAAATTCAAAGGGAATAGCACCACTTTGGCTTTGTAAATCCATGTGACTTGCTTATATCACAGGCACATCGAGTCATACATTAAAACGCCGACACAAAGAGAGTACAAGCCTTTTTTTCTTAGTATTAGAAATAAATAAAGAGAGGTTTTTAGGCAGAATCGCTAAAACTCTGGATATAAAATCCAAAGAACTGCAAAACCGTCAAAATATTGGAGGTGAGTTGAGATCGATGGAAGTATGGTGGTGGTACTGCCCTGGTACAAAACGGAAGGAGTAGGATAGACGTGAAAGGACGTGAAAGCGTGACGGACGTTTTTGAATACAAAAAAAAATTATAAGACAACAATCGAAGAATAACGAATAAATCCCTGCAAGCTGCTCTGCCGCACTTCGTACTGCTATCCCAGGATAAGTATTATTAATTCATTAGAGCATATTAAAAATTCGATTCTGCTAGCAATCCATGATTGCGACACGATGTTTTGGGAAGAATCTTCGGAGCACCGGGGCACAATTAGTACAGATAGATGCATAAAGTATTGGAGCACATTTATAAAAACGAAGTATGTTGATTATCGTGTTCTGAGCAAATAATGATATACGTCCTCAGTACCTTTTCACGTTCTTGGACTTCTTAATCTGCATTACTACTGTCAGATTCATTAACCTCATTTTCGATTCGATGAAGCTGTACGAGGAAGGCTTTCAAGTGATAAAGAGCAATAACATAAGTAGAAGCAGCGGCAATTAAGGCAGTCGACATTCAAGAGTGGGTGACAGTATTTACCACCTGCACTGATCAAGATGAATTCAGAGACAAGCCTATATTACCGATCTTGCAGGTTTAGATCCCGTTGTAGCATCCGTTTAGCGACATGCTATGATCTACAATGAAAGCTGGAGCGTCTGTCCCAGCTCCTGGACGTATCTCAAGTCGTACCCTGGAGAAGTTCGCCAACAGGTTCGCCGTGACTTTTTAGACAGCGAGACGGCGAACGCCGACGATGAGGAGATGTCAGCTTTCGTTCTGCTAGCTCTTCAAGACGAAACGTCGCTTGCTACCTACGGGTGGAACAACCGTCATCCAAGAAAGGAAGATAAAAAAACAGACTCGGAGCGGGTGATATGGTGGTTTGTAGGGGGGATTTAGCGCACTGCGGTGTGGCGTTTAGCTCGGTGAACATTCATCTCCACTGCTCCTTAGATGTAGCTCTACCCGGCGTAAGCTATAGGTACAATAAAACGCAATTGTGCCGATTCCAGACGTATCACTGCAAAATGTGCTGGTGGGAGATGTTCTGCACGAAAGCGAAGCGACTAGTTCACCAACGTGGATGCCAAACGTTTACTGCCACGTGTGCCAGCTATCCTTCGACAATAAAAATACTCCAAAGGCGCAGCGACGCACGCCTATGTCTTTCTTTTCCAAGCGGGTTTGCTTTCTAGCGATATATTTACAATAAACATACAAACTCTTTAAAAAAAAGAAGCTAATAAACCAGTATAGTATATTTTCTGTCTGACTCAATTTCCTTAAAAAGGGTCAACCCTGATTTGACCTAAATTGAATCATGAGTGTTCACCTACCCTTGTTTTTATTTAATCCCTTCAGTGTAAAATTTAAGGCTATATTAAAAGCGGAGGAAAAGAAACTAACAAGGATTCCTGCGTTTTACTTCCGTCGCAGCCTCCAGAAGCTGTCGATGGAGCCCCGGCTGGTCTTGAAGGTCTGCAGGGAGCTTCTTGCTGATGCAAGAGAGCCGGTCGTTCTCGCTGAGTCCGGCGAGGTACAGGCCAATGGCCACCCGTTTCTGCGGAGTTACGTCGCGCTTCCTGGAGTTCGAGGCATCTTGTAACAAGATTCTTGTTCGCGGGCTGCACAAAGTGAATCCAGTGTCATTTGCCCGCGAGCCACTACTGGATTCCATGCATTTCCTGCAACCGATGCAAGAACTCCGTCTATAGTGAATCTATAAGATTTACAGCCGTAAAAAGTGTGAAGTGGAGTGTTTCATTGGCTAATATTAGATGTAAACATTACATGGACATGGTTGCACAAAAAGCACAAGAAGGCACACAAAGGCTAAACAACGCGTCTACAGTTAAGTTAGCGAGCCAGAACTTGCAAACGTTAAGAAGATTACATAAAATAGGAAATTTATTATCCTAAAATCTGTATAGATACTAGTAACCTGGCGCCTCGAATTTAAATATTTATTAATATTCTAATAGACAGATAAGACAAAGGTGGGACCAATAAAGACTGCCAGGTTACTAGACGTGGACAAATGCCATAGACAGGTGAATGTATTGATATAATCCAGCTAATAGCAGAGTATGTGGCGCTTCATCATACTGGCAACCTTGCACAGCTCGACCTTCTTTAGACGAATGATTTCTCTCTTGGGTTTGCTTGGTGGCAGGTCTTCTAGTAAGTCGTAGTGACAGCCGTCCAGGACATAACTGCAATACATTATGTTCACTGACAGCCGTCCATTTACCTCTGCTATTTGGAAACTCGTTGTAGTATTTCCCGGGTCGAAATTCAACGTTGTCAACACTAGGCATTACGGGGGCAAACCCGCAGGAACTTTAGCCTAATGTATTCAACAGAAATCGAAGAGTGAGCGGAGGCAACGAGCCTCAACTCAAAGAGATTGAACTCTTCTGGACAGAGCTTCTAGAAGCTGCTACTCGCCAAGCATTCATCCCTAAGGATACATGTAGCTAGATACATAAGTTCCAAGTGCAAGCCAAGTCAGGCACTGACCGCCTGGCCAGCCATAACATATAGTAGATGCAATTCCCTCAGCTGACGCTGGAGGGCGCAGTCTGTGATGTCTGTTTGGGGAGTATGCAATGGCTGGAACCAAGCTTGAAAGCTTAGGATTCACAACACTAGTGCATCATGCAACGCGACACTTTCCTGCAAAAGATAAGCTAACTCAATACATTGAAAAACAGCTGAAGCAAATCCACGGCACACTCGTACTATCTGTGCGAGGTAAATGGCTGGGGACAGCTCTCTCTTTGCTGGCGAAATCTGTAATTAAAACAAAAGTATTGTTAGGCGGGGTCGACTTTATACGATCAAATTCCCTTGGTTATAATGCAGTATCAGTTGGCGTTGAGCGCATTTAGTATTCGTGGAGGTCCTCAGAGCTCGTCACAAGGAACCGGTGGAAAAGTTTCTCTCTTGATAGGCTGTAGAAGAGCAGAGGTCCAGTCCAATATGTGGTAGTAGGAGACTTTGTGGGATGCCTGCTTTCAATTGCGACGATATCACTACGAATGTCAATATTTGGCAAAAGAATTCCACGTTCTACACGCATTTGCCAGCCGACGTTAAGACAGACAGCTGACTCAGTACTGCGTCGCGTTCCTCTTTCGATGTGTATACTAGTGCTGCCACTTCGACATATTCAATTGGCTGATCTAGTTGTCCATAGCCACGCTCACCTTTTTGTTTAGTGTTGACTCTACCAAACTTTCGTCGATTTGGGCAATACATCTTCACCACCTAGTAGACGTAGCTCGCTTCAGATACATCAATGACCTCACCGTTTGGATATTGAAGAAGCAGAACAAGCGCTCTGTTCGTCGCCTTTCTGCTCGTTTCCATGCTTCCTACTCTAGACCTCGCGATGTACTAGTAGCTCTTTTTTTGCGTGTCTACAGTTGTATGTATGTGCTTCTGATGTATCTAAAAAAGATACTTCCAATCGGAGTCTGGGTGGCTTGTGTAACGATTCGAAAGATCCACACCAGGCTTCATGGAAATTAGAGGCGATCCTTTGGTGTAGGAGGACAGCGACGCTTTCCAATCGGAATTAGGACACTTCATGATTTTTCAATTTTCTAAGTTTTGTACGATGTTACTAAGGTTAACTGAGGTGAGCAGTTGGAAGCGCCCGTAGCCAAGTGAGCGCAATCGACGCCGAATCACGCAGTAATTACGAAGGCAAGTCCAACATAACTCTGTTTTGAGGAGCATGAGATAGTTTTTTTAGGAGAGTTTTGAACATTTAGAACACATCTAGGATTAGTGTCGAAAACGTTGTGGAGAGTTTGTTTACTATAGAAATATTGTGTTCATTGCATGTGTGGGAACTGACTAACCAGACTTCGAAAAGCTTGCCTCTTACAGCCATTATCAGGATGTACTAAAGGCTTGGCTGTGTAACGAGTTGCTATTTTCCTGCGTGACTCGCTGGACAAGTGGTATTGCTTATGTGTCTCCTGTACTATTTATCCCTAGTCCGTAATTGATACTCTACATTACTAGAAGATGTCACTGCCCAACAGATATTCGCACGAGCACTGTGCCAGAACCTATGGCTACGCTTTGCATTATTTCTCCTTAACAAACTAACTCAGATTACAAAGACTCGTTCGTCGTTTCATTCTCGCCCTTTCCACTTTTTTTTTCTCGTTCACGAACAGATAGTCTCCAGTTGGTTCACTCACGTCCTTGTCGAAGCACCGTAATGTCCAGGGACGACACAGATCTTGCTCAATCTCAAAGCCACTTGAGCGTGCTCCTACAGCGGCCATCCTTCTCGTGCGCGAGTACTACAGTGAACTCGAGTATCTGTCTTCCCCTGTCTGGTCTCACCGTACGCCATTCCGCTCGTCTGTACGCTCCCCTTCTTGGACCCTACCTGTCCTTCATCTTACCGTCCTGAAGTGCGTCCGCCGCAGGCCTCACACGCTCGATCAGACACACGCTATGCCGCAACAACCCACTCTGTTCGTCGTTGCCTTGTCGTTGACTGTACTTCCAGCCACCAACTTTCTTTCGTCTTCCGACACACTCCTCCGTTCACTTCCCCCGTCCATCACAAATATAGAAGTGAGGACCTCCTCACCCATCTTGCCGTCCATCACAAATATAGAAGTGAGGACCTCCTCACCCATCTTGCCGTCCAACACCACCAGTCGGGCCAACATTCAACATGCGATCTCCGTCGCAAGGGTGCGTCGATAGAGTCCCTGGGCTCTACCTACCCTTCAACCTTACGTTTCACGAGTAAAAGCTGGCCACAAGCCAACTGGCACTCTGCTGGAGATCGTGCTACGTAGCCCACATCACCACCCTGTTATAGCTTCATTAAGATCGCTGTTTTAATTCTTATGTATAAAAGAGCCCTCAGTAGTACCCTTTAATTGAGGCTGAGGGGGAGGCTGGGATAGCATCGGCACGGAAGCGTTATTGGCATTGAAAGCTCTCCTCAGCCGTTCACCGATCAAACCGCCCGGAGAATTGGATTAAAGCACAAAAAGGATAAGCAAATTTCGGAATATCAAGGTCTAAAGTAAAATATATATGTTACTTAGCTCCTTTCCACTGTTTTACTGTAGGAGTCCACGCAGATGGAAAAGTTTCTAGGACGTTTCGAACTGCGCGTTGTATTCGCACATTTTCTGGATAAGCAGCAGAATAAGCTCCAGCGAGCAGGGCTTGGTAAAATTCAATATGATATCGATTGCTAGGTGGATTCCATGCCAACTAATAATGGTGTTATTTGTCAGATTGTTACAATATACATCCATGACAGATGGATGCGTACGTCACATCGCCGCCTCGCACTTCATAAAAAAGAAAACCTGGGATCTAGCCAAAA